GTGGCCCTCTGGGTGGGAATAGGGTCCAAAAGTCTGGGTAGAGCTGCTCTGCAGAAGCAACTTCCGGGTGGGGAGAGTGAGGCCCAGGAGTACACATGCAGCTGGTCCACACGGGCCACTGACGGGATGGGCACTGGGCCTTGGCTAAGGAGGACCAGACCCAGAAGGGAAGCGCCTTCCGGCAGCCATCACCTTACAGTGTCCCTCTAGCGCCCTCTCCTGACAAAGCCTAGCATTGCTCCAGCTGGCAAAAGAACTGTTTACAGGGGCCAGCTCCAATTACACAAAGCAGGGCAAAGAAGGGTGTATTCAGAGCTCAGAGGCAATAAACTGATAAGCAGCATGGGGCTTGGGGGGCAGAAGGAGACATATAAGGGAGTCCAGGGTTTATCTGGGAAGAGGCTACAGGAGCAAGAGTTTCTGTGCCTTTTGGAGGTGGGAGGCGGCATGCATGGGCTGGAGCCCTGGAGAGCAAACAGCCCCCAGCCCTTTTCAAAGAGAGAATGCAGTCGCAGAGTAAACACAGCTTCAAAAAGCCACATTGTTCCACTTTCAAATGAACAGAAAATAAAATTCCTGGACAGATGCCCTCTTCCCACCCCTGGGAGTACGTAGGAAGTGGGTTGAGATATATTTCATTTTTCTTGAAAGGCTTTCTCAGCTTCTTAGCTCCTGCTAACTCAGGCTGCCCACGCCATCCTCACAGCCAAGATCCAGATTCAATCAATCATTCATTCAACAGCATTTTCTGCAAGCCTACTAGGTGCCAAACACTGAGTCTGGGAGCTTTGTGAGTGCTCCCACACAGCTTGAGTAAGTGCTGAGAGGGCAGATCGATTTAGGGACGAGAGGAATTTCCAGCAGTCAGTGTGGTTCAGGCTTAGATCTGCCAGTAGTTCTCCAATAATGATAAGAGCAATGGCTCTGGAGTCAAGTGACACGAGTTCTAATCCTGTCTCTGCTCTTGTCTAGCAATTTTTTTTTTTTCTTTTTGAGACAGAGTCTTACTCTGTTGCCCAGGCTAGAGTGCCGTGGTGTCAGCCTAGCTCACAGCAACCTCAAACTCCTGGGCTCAAGCAATCCTCCTGCCTCAGCCTCCCGAGTAGCTGGGACTACAGGCATGCGCCACCATGCCCGGCTAATTTTTTCTATATATGTTTTTAGTTGGCCACTTAATTTCTTTCTATTTTTAGTAGAGACAGGGCCTCGCTCTTGCTCAGGCTGGTTTCGAACTCCTGACCTTGAGCGATCCACAGAGTGCTAGAGTTACAGGCGTGAGCCACCACGCCCAGGCTTGTCTAGCAGTTTGACACAATTCGCCTCACCTCTCTGAGCCTGTTTCCTCATGTGTCAAATGGTTTGGGTAATGTCTACCTCTCAGGGTTTCTGGGAAGATTAGGGACAATGCCTGCATCAGGTATTATACAAGAACCTGCCAAGGTAGGTGAGCTGGCCCATCAGACCAAAGCCCAAGGTTCCACCAGCCGCAGGAAGCAGATGCTTAGGCCAACAGTGTCACCCGTTTTTACACAGGGGTGTTGAGTCTGATGCTGCCCTACTTAGGATGGCCTCCTAGAAAGCACCTAGTCCCACCTCCTCACTGGGCAGACCCTCCTCTAGAGAGGGCAGGTGTTTGCTTGAGGCCACACAGCATGGTGGTGGCCGAGCCAGCATTGGAACCTGGCCTCATGGCATTGAGCCACCCAGTCACCTAAGGACTAAAAATGATGTGCTTCAGAGTGTGGGCTCTGGAGCCAGACAGACCTGAGTTCCGGTCCCGGCTCCGCAACTTTCATTCATTCAACAGATACTCATTGGGTTCCTGGCAAGTGCCAGGCACTGTGCTCAGTGCAGGGGACTTGGGGGACAAGATCCACGTGTCCCTGGCCCCTCACTGCCACAGCCTGGTGGGGAGGCCGTGGACAAACACCCAGTGAATGAACAAGCTGACACCCACCGTGGGACAGCACTGAGGGACAGACAGGGCAGCCCTGGGAGGGACGGGGACAGTGATGTTTCAGAGTGTCTCTCTGGTTGCTGCTGTTGGTGTGACACTCGATGGCTCTCCGACCTTGGGTGAGTTGCTTAAGCTGAGCCTCAGTCTCCTCATCTGTTAAGTGGGGATGATCGTCATGCCTACCCCACGGGCGTCACTGGAGGCTGACGGGTGACCAGCCACAGAGAGCACCTAGCAGCGCGGCCCGAGCATTAAGTGCCGAGTGGCGTTTGCTTTCTCCCCTCCCCACGCCCAGAGTCCTCGACCTCCGCCAGGCCATGGCCTGGCGTGAACCTGTTGGTTCTGCCTGTGACATGACGCTGTGACTTCTGCCCTCAGCCAGCGCTCAGGACACTTCCAGGCCAAAGCTCATTAAGCTCCTGCCCATCAGAGGTCACCAGGGGAGGGGGTGGCCGGCAGAGCCCAGGGACAGAGAGTGGCCAGGCTCCGCTCTTGACAAGGGCCTTGCAAGTGGCCTTAGCATCCATCAAAGTCACAGCTCCATCTCCTGGGTGCTTGGGAGACATAACGTGTCCTAGTCAGGGCCGGCAGAGACGTCGTGAGAAGTAATTTTGGCCTTGGCTGGCTCCTGCGGCCAGATTTATTACAGCGTAAAGAGACAGTTTAGCTCCTGGCAGTAACAGGCAGCCGGCCCGTCTGCGCTTGTCGAAATCCTAGTTTCTGGGGCCAGGGTGGGTGGAGGCTGCTACCCCACCTGCTCAGCCCGAGGCCCCAGCAGAGCCCGCTGGACCATTCATCTTCCTGTGCTCCAGGCCACCTAGTCCGAGAAGCCACCACCTCCGCACACGCACGGCATTTGAAAATCAGTGCCCTGGCCACATGTTACCCATTTGGTGTTGCATCGAGGGGATCTTCGGGCTTTTGACCCCACCCAGGCAGGCTGCGGAGCTGAGCGGGGAAAGGCTCAGGCATTGGGGTCAGCCTGGGTGTGGGTTCAAGTCCTGGCTCTGCCATATAGTGGCCAAGGGACCCTGGGTGAGTGAACTCACCTCCCAGAGCCTCCATCTACCCATCTCTAAAATGAAGGGGCGTGACCCCTCTTTTAAAGAGGTGCTGTGTGGATTGAGTAAGAGATAAGGGTGCGAGGCAGATGACACAGTAATAGGTGATACACAAGGGGGACAATCACCATTTTTATTATCCAGGGGCTCCAGTAGTGTGGTATGAGACGTCCTGTACTGAGGGCCAGGGACTGTGTCACCAGGGACTGTGTCATCAGGGCCTGCGCCAGCTCTTTCTAAACATTTCATCTCCAGACCTCACAATCGATCCTGCGAGTAGGTGCTGTCAGGGCTACTGCGGGTGGGTAGGGGCTGGGCAAGGGCACCCCGCTGGGGGTGTGGAGCTGCGGGTGGAACCCGGCCTGTTGGTCCTGGAGCTGGAGCTCCTGTTAGCACACAGCCTGCCTCCCGGCTCCTCTGGAGGGCCACGTGAGGCCACCGGTCAGCTAGGCAGGCGGACCCACATTCCCTCCTTCCTCCCTCCCTCTTGCAAACTATTCAGGGCACCAGCGCCAACGCAAGCCCTTTGCTGGGCAACAGATAAAACAAGGTGAACACAGAAAGACGCCCTGCCTTCGAGGAGCTCAACACCCAATGGGGCACAGAGCAGTGTGGCATCCATACTGCCCAGAGCATGCATGTATCAGTCAGCTTTGGTACGTAACAAATGATCTCATGATATATTGGCTTAAAAGAAAGAATCTTTCTGGGGGGTTGGTTGTGTAGTTTCTTGTAAACTTGATCATGCAGCTGCGCTGTGGTGCGGGGTGGGCGGTGTTTGACGGTTTTTGCCGTTTGTGTTGGTTGTTGTTGGGTTTTGGTGGTTTTCGTTGGTTTTCCTTCATGTCCTCTTCCCTGATCTTGTTTGAGGGAGTTCCAGGTAGGCTCTGGTATGCTTTGTGATGCTTGGTGTGGCGCAGTGTCCCGCCGTCACTTTTGCTCCCTTCTGTTGGCTTCGCTTGTCGTATTCTGTTCTTGTCTATTGTTTAGGCATTGTCTGTGACTCTTTTTTTCAACTCATCAGGTAAGGCTTAGAGGTCAGTTTAGAATGAGGGTGAGGGGGTACAGTCTGTGCCCTAGCCAAGGGGGAGCATAACTGTCCAATATATTTTTAACTCAGATTAAAGGATGTTGAATTGTGAGGTCATTTGAATGGATCACAGCCTTTGACAAAGGGAGAAACTGAGGCACAGAACGTCAGTTCGCATATGAACAGAATGAGTACACTGTAGAGCCAGCTTTCGTATGAAGAAACTTTGGCCCAGAAATAGGATTGTCTTGCCCGAGGTCACACGGCACAGAGCCAGAGTGACTCAGATCCCTGCCAGCCAGCTTGCTCCTCCTTCCACTCCACCCCAGGAGGGAGCTGGGGCCCAGAATGTGCTGGGCTCAGGCAGCTGGACAGTCATCCCCAACAGGGGTGCGTCTCTTTCGTCTCTTTTTCTGCTGTGTGTTTGTAAACTAAGCCCTTTCAGAACACCTGACACTGCATAAGGCGCCTAATCTCTGTCTCATCTGATCGTAAGAGGACTGTCCCCATTTTACTGATGAGAAACTGAGGCCCAGAGAGAGCAGCTGACTCACCTCAGGTCTCACAGTTGGTGAGGCCCATCTGCCTGACACCAAAGCCTGAGTCTCCCACGCTGCCCCAGGAAGAGCTAAACCTTGATCCAGGCCCCCAGGGGATGAGAGGCAGCTCTGTGGTCCTCAGGGGTCTCAAGATGAAATCCACTACCTGAGGAAATGCTTCGGAGGCCTAGGTGGAGACAGCAAAGGCCAGCGTCCCTTCGAACCAACTCTGTAAGTGGGAGGACCCTGAGCAATGCCCTGGTCCACACCCCTACCATTGTCCCGATGAGAAAATGAAGGCCAGACCAGAGCCCAGGCCTCTGACCCCGTCCAGGGCCCTTCCACCTCACTGGGAGGCTGGGACAGGCCAGCATGCCCCAGTCAGGCTGGTCAGACACACACAGGGCCACTTGGTGGCATTCAGAGAGCATGTTTATTTACAAAGCACTTTACAAACATGAGCTTATGCCTCCCCACAGCCCCCTGCGAGGTAGGTCAGTAGTCATATCTACAGTTTACAGATGGGGAAATTGAGGCACGGAATGGGGGTGTGGCCTGTCCCATTTTAAAGAGACCTTCCCACCTACCCATCCAAAAATAACAAACAAAAAAGCACTGATCCTCCATCCCAAAATATCCTCTTTTCCTCTGAACTCTAGGGGCTGTGACCAGCCTGGCCCCCTCCCCCGGTGGGCAGCCTGACCAGAAGCCACAGGGACCTTGACCCCAGAGACTGCCATTCAGCCTTACAGACTGTCACTGGCCCAAGCCAAGCAGGACAGGCCAGCGAGGCCTGAGGGTTAGAGGAAGACAGGGCTGAGGTGACTTCATTCTGCAGATGCGGGGGCAGGTGGGGAAGGCAGATCCTGGCTCACGCAAGCTCAGAGCACATGGGAAGCGGAGTGGGGAGGGATGGTGAGCGAATATCCCCGGGGGCTGCAGGGGGCTGTGGGGTGGAGGAGGACACCGCAGTTCCCTGGGGGAAGACAGTCGGTGTGCCTCACTGACAATTCAGGCCAGGTCCCAGCCTCCCCAGGGCCCTCAGGGGTGGGGCCCGATGGAATTCTAGATGCCAAGCCTCACAGCACTCTCCACCCACGAGCACAGGGTGCTGAGCTGGGTGGAAACCTTGACCTGGGACGCTCGCTGCAGGGCCTCACTCATCTCTGCCCAAGGCTGGGATGGAGTCGAGGGGCTTGGTCTGGGTCCCCCAGAGCTGGCTGTCCTGAGCCCCTGCCTTTCTGCCAGGCAGTGCCAGGCCCGTCAGCACAGGCCTGCAGGACCCTGTGGAGGTGGGGCTGGGCCGCCCTCTTGCTAAGCTCCTCCGGGCCCACGGCCTGCCCATGGGACATAGTGAAAGGCCCTGCCCACAGTGAAGGGGGCACCAAGATGGCCCAGCGTCCAGTCCAGTGCTTTCCCCGTGGGGCTGCAGCTGGGCAGAGCTGGAGGCACAGATCTTCCTCGCCAGTCTGGGACGGTGGGTCTGGCCCTGAGTGTGCAGTGGGTGCCCCAGGCCAGAGGTCCCGCTATCTTGACTCCAGCCCCTCCAGGTACTCCAGGGCCACGTCGTAGCAGAAGTGGTACTGGTCCTGGGGAGAGGGAGAGAAGGAACCATGAGCCTGAGCCCTCCCTAGTGCTCGGGGCTGGGAGGGGAGAGAGGGCAGGCATGGGCCCTGGCCCGCCTTAGGGGAAAGGGGTGGGAAGGGGGACGTTTTGACAATATAAGACTAGAACCAAGGCGCAGTGGTGGGGACTGCACGTGGGAGAGTAGGTGCTGAGGGATCTGGCCAGGCACGGAGCCGGAAGGCGGAAGTGGCCGGACACGGGAACACGGCCCCTCACCATGGTCTCCACCATATTGGGCTTGTAGTTCCGAAGCGTTTTGGCAGCAAAGAAAACATCCACCAGGTTGTGGCAACGGATCATCTCCAGGACTGTCGCACAGGCACAGAAGGTCCCGCTCCGTCCGCCCCCATTTCTAAATGAGAGACACAAAAGGTTTGGGGGAGGCTCCGGAGCCAGAAGTGGGGGGCGGGGCCTGGGAACCAAAGGAAGGGGGCGGGGCAGAGGGCCCAGAGGTGGGCGCAAGACCGGAAGTTTAAGGAGGATCAGACGCTAAGACAGCTGTCCAAAGCCTACGGCATCCCAGAAACATACCCTCAAGGAGAAGCAGACCAGACTCTGAGAGAAGCCAGACACACTCCAAAGAAAGACACTGAGAGACAAAGCGACAGAGAAGGGCCAGCGAAAGCAAATACCCAGAGAGCGAGATGGAAAATGAACGCTGAGAAGACGGGTCACTGCCGGCCACTGCCCAGCAGCGCAGACACACAGGCACACGCACGCATGCACGCACATGGGTGAGTTCTGCACCCGGAAGACTCGGGCCACCAAGTCTTCACGCACACGCACGCACACCCCAAGTCAAACCTGCAGCCTCCCACGGCCTCCTGCCTCTCCCGCTGTTCCCTGACTCCCATGTGTGGGTGCCTCTTGGGGGATGAGAGACTGCCTAGGCCCTCAGCCCCCTTCTGGAGGGGTCTCTCCTTCTAGAAGCAACAGCCCTGAGGCCAGGGCACTGACTCAGCCCCCATCCCGCTCCCAGTAGCCCGGCCTGGCCCTGGGAAGGCTCAGTGAGTGCTGAAAGCCCGAAATGGGGAGGGAAGAAGTGACTGCGCCCAGACGTGAGTGAATACGTGACTCTATGAATGAGGACATAAGTATGAATATATGAACGAATGAATGAAGAAAAAAGCTGTGTGTGTGCATGCATGAACAAAAGGCTGAAATTCCACTGGCATAAAAAGTGTGCTACAATCTCATGGGGTAAAAAGTTCTGACAAACGAACGACTCCTTTTAATTGAATTGGCAAAGTCACACGTCACACAGACAGTACTGGGCCGCTGTCCAGGGTTGAGTCTATACCCTGGAAACCGACTGGGTTTCTCCAGGGAAGGCAGGGCCAGCGCTGGCTGGTCGGGCTGAGTCCGGGCCATGGCCATCTGGGAGCCCAGGGTTCTGGTGCCAGCGTGAGGCCCTCTCTCAGATTGGACCTCGGCCCCTGGCTCCCAGATCCCTCCACCCACCCTCCAGCCTGCCAGGCACTCACAGGCAGTGCACGACGGTGCGCCCGTCCCCGTTCTCTGCCTGCCACTTGTCCACCTCAGTCAGCAGGTGTAGGAAGGCTTTCCTGGAGTCAGGCGTGTCCCGGTATGCAGACCAGCGCAGGAACTGGAAGTGCCGCACCAGCAGGTGCCCCTCCTGCAGCTGGGGTCATGGGCAGCCAGCCAGGGGGACATGAGCACCAGGGTCACAGGGGCCCCAGAAGACCTCAAGAGGGTCATCCAAGGCTGCCCCAGGCCACCACCCAGGTTCATCCTGGGGCTCTCCAGACCACTCACCCGAGAGATGTTCTGCACCCGGAAGACTCGGGCCACCAAGTCTTCATCCACTGTGCCCGACACAAACTCCACCTCCATGAGGCCATACTGCTGCCGGCCTGGCTCTGGCCAGTACTGCAGGCAGGGCTGGGGACAGGGGCAGGGAGGGAGGGGAGCTGAGTAGAGCCCGACAGGGGCTCACCCCATAGCCACCCCCACACCCAGAGATCCACACCTGCCCTGTGGCTCCCACGTGCCGTGGCCCACCCACTCACTCCACACCCACCTTCAGCACCTCCAGTTGAGGTGCTGGACTGGTGACTTGCCACTAGCCACCCATCAGACTGCAGAGCACACCTGCCCCAGCGTGTTCTACACTGACACGTTCAGATCAGCCGAGATGAACCCTTCCTAGGCAGTGTGCTGATGACCCTGCCCTGCCACTAAAAATCTACACTTTAACACACTCACACACCCCAACATGAGGCTGCTTTCTTCCAGGGACAGGTCCAGATCACCCCCACCCACTCCAGGACCTCCCCCCAGCCTCTCTCTCACTGCCTCTGTCCTTCAGCGCCAGCTCACAGAGGTGGGGGATCCCTGATGCTGCCAAACAGCTCAGCACCCCACTCCTGCTCCAGGGCCCCTCCACGGAGCCAGGGTCCTAAACAGACTCTCTCCAGTAGAGGGACAGGGGAGGGGCAGCATCCACAATACACACACCCACATATATACACATACACACACGGGCCCCAGGCTGGCAGCCTGGAGCCTCAGCTTCTAGCCTCAGCTCTGCCCAGAGCCCAAGAAAGCCTCGTCCTTTCTCTGGGCCCCAGTTTCTCCATCTCTAACACGCCCCCCAAGCTCCTCCTAAGGGACACCATGCTCCATCTGCTCCCCTCTCTCACCACAGCCCATGAGGAAGGACACTACCTTCTTATTGCCTGGAGTCCTGGCAGCTCCTCGAATTCAGAACTTTGCACCTGCTGTTTCCTCTCCATAGATCACTCTTCCCTATCTCTTCACCTAGTTAACCCCATGCTTCCCACTTCCCATGCATCTCAGCTGATGCACTACCTCCTCCAGGAAGCCCTCCTGGATACGTTATCCCTCAGGCTTTCCTATGTCCCTGTGGCGGCTCCATGACAGCCCTTTTCTCTCTCTGCTATCACTGTTGGATTTTGTACCTGCTTCCCCCTGTACTATGAGATCTGGGAGGGGCTGTGTCTTCTCCTGCCTCCCCACTGCCCACTGCAGGGCCTGGCAGGGAGGAGTGCATGGAAAAGTTGGTTGAATGAATGAACAAATCAATGATGTCCGTGTGAACCTCCCCCTGGGCCCCACTCCTACACCTAAGGTTGGGAGTCACCCCAGATCCCCTCCCAGGAACCAGAGCCCAGTACCCTGTAGTCCGGGTCATTTACACCAAGGGCCTGACCCAGAGAGAGCCCAGTTAACGAAGCCTTCTCCAGGCAGCCATTAAATCACTGTCACGCTCATTTTACAGCAAATCTTCCTTGCCCCCTGGGCCCACAGAGGGCTGGGGTGGGAGGGAGTCCAGAGATCAGGGGGTGTGGTCGGGTAGGGCTGGAAGGCTGGGCATCTGCGTCTCCCAGGAGCTCCAGCCGTGAGAGTCCCAAAAGGAAATGGGGGAGTTGGAGAGACTGCCCCCAGGCGGAGGTCACCAAGCCGGTGTCTGGCCCAACATCAGAAGTGACTGTCAACCCCCATCCTCTTCATCCCTGCCACGTATTGAGTGCTAAGCAGCATATGCCTGTCATACATGGTCCCCACAATCACCCCATAAAAACAGGTCCTGAGATGGTCCCCATTTTACAGAGAAGGAAACTGAAGCTCAAACAGGTGAACTAACTTACCCTAGAGCAACAGTCAGAAAGTAGGAGGCCTGAATTTTACTCTGCCTCGAAGGCCCCATGATGGGCAGTGCAGCTGCACAACTGAAAGGGCAGAAGCTCTGGAAGGAGGCAGCCCGGGCGGGGGGCGCAGCTCTGCCACTCCCCAGCCGTGTGATCTTGGAGAAGGTCCTTCACCTCTCTGGCTTTCAATTTTCTTTATTTTTATTTATTTATTTATTTATTTATTTATTTTTGAGACAGAGTCTTGCTTTGTTGCCCAGGCTAGAGTGAGTGCTGTGGCGTCAGCCTAGCTCACAGCAACCTCAAACTCCTGGGCTCAAGCAATCCTCCTGCCTCAGCCTCCCGAGTAGCTGGGACTACAGGCATGCGCCACCATGCCCAGCTAATTTTTTCTATATATATTAGTTGGCCAATTAATTTCTTTCTATTTATAGTAGAGATGGGGTCTCGCTCTTGCTCAGGCTGGTCTTGAACTCCTGACCTCGAGCAATCCGCCCGCCTTGGCCTCCCAGAGTGCTAGGATTACAGGCGTGAGCCACCGCGCCCGGCCTCAATTTTCTTAATTTCCTCACCTGAAGCCTTTACCCCAAGGTCATTGTAGATTGTAAAGAAGACCACACGTGCGAACAGAGTCCCTGGCTTACAGCAGGTGCTCAATATAGAGCAGCTACTCCTCTCCAGTCTCACACTCTCATTTCACAAATGAGGAAACCCAGGCTCTGGGAGAGAGTGTGACTCGCCTAAGGTCACACAAATAGGTGGCAGAGCTGAGACCCAACTCTTGACTTTGGGGACCATTCCCTTGAACACCCTGAGGCCCTGGGCAGAGGTGGCCGAGTGGGCTGGCCAGCAGGGCCCTCACCCAGGCAGAGTTGGACTGGTTCAGCTGGTTGAGCATGACGATGGAGGTGCACCCGTAGTCGTAGACCAGCCGCCAGAAGTCGGGCGTGGTGCTCTGCAGCGGGTGCAGGGTCACGATGAAGGCCGCGCTCCGAGTGTAGCTCTGTGGGGAGACAGGATTCAGCAGGGCCCGTTCCCAGCCCCTGACACGGGCCAAGCCCCCGCCACAGGCTGTCTTCCTGCTCTGCCACCCTGGGCTGGACAGTTGTGTCCCACAGGACCAGGCTGCCCCCAGTGGCCCATTTCAGAGGTGGCTCACTGAGGACTGAGTTGACAGGGTGAGCCCCAGTCCTCTCATGCCCAAACCCATGGTCCCTGGGAACTAAACAGCAAAAAGTTCCCAGATGTGTGGCAAGGGGAGCCTGGGCGTAGTAGGCAGAAGTTGGTCAAGCCTGCCACCTGCCTCAGGGCCTTTGCATCTGCCCTTCTGCTGCCCAGACCAAACTTCCCGAACCCTTGTATGGCTCTCTCCTTTACTTCTTTCCGGTTTTGACTTAATTGTCACCTCATCAAAGAAGCCCTCCCTCCTCCCTTACTACCTCAGCAAAGACAGCCACACATACCCACAATCCACATTAAACAGTAATGCCTGGTTGCTTTTTGTAGAAATTTCCAGAGTATGACATTCCATTGTGTATTTATTTACTGACTGTTCCACTCCATCTCCCAAATTTGAGGTTCAGGAAAGCAGAGATTTGGGGATATGTGCCTAGTACATTGTAGGGGTTCAATAAATATTATGAATAAATAAATCTATAGGTCCCTTCCAACTCCATGGATGAAGGGTCTGGGGCCACAACCCAGGCTCCCCGGGCAGTGACAGGCACCGACTCTGCTCTCTGCTCCCGACCTCGTCCTGCTGGCTGAGCGGGCAGCCGGCCTTCTCCCCATCACAGCCCACCCCAGGATCCCATGGTGCCCTGCCTCACCCCACCCTGTGCCATGTCCCCCTCCCTCTCCTGAGCTCTTCTCCAACCCCTTCCCTGCCCCCTGGCCTCCTCCTGACCTGGGGGCTGGCATAGGCTCCTGGGACCTGCCCCTTGTCTGGTTTCTTCTTGGCCTTGACCCTGACTAAATCTTGACCTGACCTTTGTGATCCCGCAAGGGGCAATGCGGAGGCCAAGGAGGGGGCGGGCAGGGAGGTCACAGGTTCCTAAGTTTAGTCCGACAGTCTTCCTGGTACCCCACGCCACCTAGGACCCCGACCCCTCAGCAGGCCAGACGCCCCCAGGCGAGTATACAGGCACAAGCACACACACTCGTGCACACACACACTGTCACGCACTCTACCAGGCTGAGTGACAGTGACTGACGGGCCCCTCTCCTCTCTCCCTTCAGGGGCTGGGCTGCTCCTCCCCTCAGCTCAGCGCCCACCAGGAAGCCCCCTGGGAAGTAGGGTGGGAGCTCCTTCCATTTAGAGAAACCCCACTGTCCCCTGCCTGGCCAAAGGGCTCTTGGCCAGGAGCCAGGCCACAAAAAGCCCATCTCCCTCCTACCCGCTGTGGGAGAACCTCCCTTCCCATCTCTCATTTCTGCACATTGGAACGTCCGACGGGACACGCCCGGCCTCGGCCCACCCTTCACTCACTCCTCCCGGGGCCGAGGGTGCTCAGCTCTGCTCCTTCCTCGCTCTTCCCGGCCAGCCTGCCCTCAGAAGGGTGCTCTGCCTGCTGCTCCCTGCCCCACAGGAAGGCCTGTCCCTGACGGTGAGGGGCGGCCGTGGCTGCACAGCTGCACCCAGGGGGAGTCGGCCTGACAGGCTGAGGGAGCAGCAGCCTACGTGGCCGCGTACCTAAAGCCCCATTCTCCAGTCTTATCTGCAACAGTCCGGTCTCCACCTGCCTGTCTCCACGTCTACCTCTCAGCTGGTTCCCATGTGGAGGAGGAATGGGGGTAACACTCAGACTCTTCCCACCTCGGAGGGCTACACCTCGGAGGGCTACACCTCGGAGTTAGTCATCGGCCCCTAAAGCCCCGGCACCCACCCCCTGCTCTGCTCCCAACACCCAGCAAAGGGGGCAGAGCCCCCTGAGCAGGGAGTAGCGGGAGAGACTCTAAATGGCTCCTGAGCTCTCGGACTACAAACAGGCTGGGTCCAGGAGGCAGGTCACCTCCCAGGCCAGGTCCTGGAGCAGACTCCAGCCAGTCTCCTCAGGACAAGCCCCCCTGGCTCCAGACATCAGGTCCTAAGTCCCAACCCAAATGCTCAAGGCCTCCCCAGTCAAAGCCTCCTGAATCACTCATCCTACCCCAGGCTCTGCTGGGCCTGACCCTGGAGACAGCCCTGCCTGAACTCCACAGCCCAGGCCTGCAACTCAGGCCAAGAATACCTGGCAGGGAGGCACTGGCTTGAATGCCCTGATTGGAAGATCCCTGGGGTAGGAGGCTCACCCCATGGAACTGTTCCCCAGCATGGGCAGAGGGTCCCCCCACCAGAGTCCTCTGCTCTGTGCCTTTGGACCCTGGACCTTCCCAGATGCTGTCGGGAGACGGAGCCCCACAGCCACCCCACCCCCAAGCTCTCACGTCCGTCAGAGCGGCGTTGATGTAGTTGTTGGGGTCCCCGTCGGTGGAGACGAGGAATGGCAGGCAGCGGTCGGGAGGCAGGACGTCCATGCTGCGGTTCTTGTCGCGGTTCCGGGGCAGCAGGGCAATGCTGCACTCCTCCACGTCCAGCGGCGGGGTGACCGAGTTGAGCGTCTGCAAGGGGGTCGGGGAGAGAGTCAGAGTCAAGCCCCACGCCTGCTGGGCCTCCCACACGCCCAGGAAGGAGGATGTGCTGGGTTATGAGCCCCATTTCACGGATGGAGAAACTGAGGTACAGAGACAAAGGAGAGTGGGCAGGGCCCCCGGCTCCCTGTCGCTAGGCCACACAGGGCCTGGACAGAACTCCGGAGAGTACAGTCTGCCTTCTTACCACCTGTGTAAACTCAGGCAAGCTACTGTATCTCTTAGCCTCAGTTTCCTCAACTGTAAAAATGGGAACGTGATATGCCTACTCCACAGGGCTACTGGGAGGATAAGGTGAGATAATGACAAGCCCCGAGCTGAGCCTGGCACGCACTGGGCACAGCGAGCATCATTACTAGCTTAGCAATGCCTTCACTGAGACAAGCCCTGCAACCCCATGCCCTCCACAAAGCGGACTCCAGGGACCTGGCAGAGTGGTCACCTTCCTTGGTCACAGCCCTGTCTGAGCAGAATGCAAGTCCTGAGCACCTGGCACTGATCAAGCCAGGGCCTCTGGGACAGCTCCTCCACCCCATGCCTGCAGGCCTCAGGCCTTGAGATTCCCGGGGTCTCAGTGCATCTTGTTCTTGGGGATCCCTCACAGGAACCCAAGTCTGCCCTGATCCCCCAAGCCCGACACCCTGCCCCAGGAATCACAGGCACCATCTCCTGCGAGATCACCCTGCGCCGGCCCTGGAGCACCAGGCACCCAGCGTGTGCCGTCCACTAAGCCCTCACATGACCCAGAGTGGGGAGGACATCTTGGGTCTCTGCCTGCCTAGTGACAGAGCCAGGCCCCGAGGGCGTGCAACCAAAGCCAGGGCCAATCGGCGAGCTCCCTCTCTCCAGCCCCAGGGACTGGCTTGGGGATGGGCAAGTGAGAGTCTCCCCTAGGACTTGGGGCTGCTGGGAGCAGCACGCGTCTTCCAGAGTCTCCCGACAGCAGCGCTCAGGTGAGCCTGGCACTGCTGGGGCCGGGTGTAGGTCTGAGGATGAAGCCAGATCAGCAGCGGAGACAGACCACGTGCTGGCATCATCCCTGGAGCCCCTGGACCTGCCACAACCGAAGCTGCACCTGCCCCAGACTCTTCAGTTACAAGAGCTGGACTTGTACTCACAACCAAAAGAACTCCGATGAATACGACACTGCAAAGGAGACAGTGGCTACTTCCCTTCTGTGGGTAACAAAACTGAGGCTTAGCAAGGTAAAGTGATGTGTGCAAAGATGCTCGCAGCTCTCAACTAGGTAAGCCAGGATTAGAACCCGGGTTTATCTGACTTCAAAGCCTGGGCCCTTAACCGCTTTGATGCACCATCTCCTCCACTGTCTCGTCCTTTCTAGTCCCCAGCTCTGTCCCTCCTGCTGTGGTCTCAGTCTGGTCCCTTCTGCTTGGCTCTCAATGACTCTTGCAGTGCTGAGGACGTCCCAACACACACACACACACACACACACACACACACACACACACACACCCCACACCTATACACACACTCATCCCCCACCTGGAACTCTTCCCGCAGCTGGGAGGAATTGCTCTGAGGATCGATGCGGATCATCTCCTTGTAGGTGGCCTTGAACTCACTCACAGGGATGGTGGTCTCCCCACACAGGCAGGCCTCCAGGATTGCATCGTGAATGAAGATGTACTGCTCCTGAACAGGAGACGAGAGCACGAGACTGAGGAAGGACTAGAAGCTGGAGATCCGTGGGGGAGAGGGGGCAAGCAAGCTCGAGGCTGAGGCGGGTGCTCTGGGGTGGAGTCCGACCACGTGCCACCACGGACACGCACACGTGTCTCCTACCTCACCCCTGTGACACCCCTGTGAGATGCTCTGAGAGGTGAGGGGACAGTCCAAGGTCACGTGTCCAGGAAGATGCAAACCCAGGGAAGTCTGGACTACAGAACCCGTTGTTGTTGCCCCTTCCCCCCCAACAGAACACAGCGGAGCTGAGCGGGGAGGCCCCTTGGAGGTTGGGAGCCGAGTTCAGGAATGACCCTAGGGAAGGGAAGAGCCTCTGGACACGCTCCACCAGCACTGAGCTCCTTCACGAGAGACCCCTGTCCTAGAGGGACTGGCGGGGACAGGGCCGGGACCCTGCACCTCAGTCTGGATCATGTTGACGCGCCGGGAGCAGAGGGTCTTCACGCAGTTGTAGATGTCCACCACGCCCTCACACTCGGCCATGTCCAGCATCACGTCCAGGACAATGTAGCAACCTGTGCGGCCAGTGCCCGCGCTGGGGAGAAAGCGGCCCCAGGCCACGTCAGAGCCTTGGCGGGGGAGGCCGGGACTAGGGAGAAGAACAGAGGAGGGACTGGCCATATCTGCAGCACACAGGGGACAGGGACACAGAGATGACCTCCCGTCCCCCAGCAAGGAGAAGCCAGGGAGCAGGTTGCTGGGTGGAAGAGTCCTGGTGAAATATGACAAGGACAGAGCTGGGCGTGGGTCCCAGGGAAGAAGAGCAGGGGTGAGGGCAGGGAAAATGCAGAGGTAAAGCCAGCCCAACTTAGCCACTTAGAATGGGGAAGAGGGACAACAGTGACACTCAGAGCGTATCTAAGAATATTCCTTCCTCCTGGATATCACCAGATCTCCTGCACACCCTTCAAAACCCCACACACTCATGCCCATTCACATTCCCAATGGAGCATCTCTGACGCTTCCAGGCAGATGTCATTCTTTTGAGCTCCCAGAGCAATCTGGGCAGGCTTTTATTAAAACACTCTTCCTGCCACATGGTCACTGTTGATGTGGCTGTCTCCCTAACCCGCCTGGGAGCTCAGGAGCTGGGCTGTCTTGGGTTCACCTCTGTGAACCTTGTGCTCACACCGGGCTGCACAGAGTTGAGGGGGAGTGGACAAAGATGACACCAAGATTTCAGGTTTAAAAATGGTGGTATTCACGTGTTGGCAAAGACATACAGCAACTGGACATCCCATACGCCGCTGGTGGGGGCTTAAATTCACACAACCACCTTGGAAAACTGTCTGGCAATATTTCCGAAAGCTGAATGTCCACGTGGGTAGCAGTTCTACTCCTACACACACATCCCGCAGAAATGAATGCATCTCCTGGCCTAAAGCCATGCAATCGAATGTCCTCAGCAGCACTATTCATAATAGCTCAAGACTGGAAATAACCCAAATGCCCGTCAACAGCAGAATGGACAAACACATTGTCATTTATTCACCCAGTAGAATATAACCCAAAATGGATGGACCTCACAAATGTAAAGTGGAAGGAAAGAAGCCGACAGCAAAGAGCACATGCTGTGTGATCTATTCTTACAAAGTCCAAAAACATGCAAACTATCTATGGTTTAGAAGTCGGGACAGTGACTGTTCAGGGAGGGGCGGGAGGGCACAGACCAGAATCGGGCTCAAAGGGCCTCTGGGTGCTAATGCTCTGTTTCTCAATCTAAGTAGAGCTTTGTTATTTCACAGGTGTGCTTTGTTTGTGAAAATTCATAGTAATAGAGACAGTAATTATTTGTGCACTTTGCTTTTAAGTGTATTATATATCAAAAAAGTTCTATTTTAATAAGCTGGTATCTTACAGAGGCCTAAAGAATCGAAGAGAACTGGTATGGGCAGGAGGGAGAAGAATCAATATGCCACATAGCATTTGGGGAGTTGGTAAGAATCCAATAGAGGAGCCAGGACAAGACATCGAGGCCACGGACTTGTGGGCACAGGGCACTTGCCAAAGCCACAGCGTTGAAGGTTAGGTTCTCCAGGGGGGTGGGGGAGGACAGGGTTCTGGGCCCCCAAATATTTAAGAGGCAAGAGGAAGGTGTGGAGCCCGCGAGGAAGCCGGGCAGAGACAGAAGGGCGGTTGGGGTCACAGGAGCCACTCAGGGTCTGCGGAGGGTGTGAAGGCCAAGGGTGAGTGGGGCCCAGTGGGTTTGACAAAGAGAAGGTGAAGTCCTTCTCAGCCCTGGGCCAGACCTAGCAGGCAGCAGGTGTGCAGCAAACACCTGCTGAACGGAAGCAGCTGAACTTGACCGTGCCTGGTGCCTCGCCATCCCCTAAGCCGGCCCCCTCCCTGCCTCCAGCACCTCCCTAGCACCTGGGTCAAGGCGCCACAAGGCGCCACAAAGAGCGCATGAGGGTGCCAAACTCACAGCCAAAGCTCAAAGGCTAAAGGGCTTTTCCAGGGTCAGTCCCTCCAGTCCTCCGTCTCCAAGCAGGACGAGCCCAGGCCTGGTCCCCCTTACGGACCCTGAGCCAACCCCACTGGGGCCCAACTCCCCGCTGGCCCTCTTCTCCTTGGGACTCCTGGCAACCCACCTGCAGTGGATGACAATGGGCCCAGCGTCAGGCGGGGTGGAGGCCTTCACACGCCGGATAAAGGCCAGCAGCCCCGTGGCATGGTAGGGGACGCCGTGCTCTGGCCATGCTGTGAAGTGAAACTGGCGGACCTCGTGCCGGGCAGAGTAGCCTCTCTGGGGAGACGACAGCAGTAACGGTAAGAGTCACCAGCAGCATCTATTAGACACTTGCTGTGCATCAGGCACTGTGATGAGCATCTCACTGCATGATCTCAATTAATCCCAATGATAAGTTTATTGATGAGGCCAGTATTAATGTCCCATTGTACAAGTGGGAAAACTAAGGCTCAAAGAGGAAAAGCCACTTTCCTGGAGTTAGATAAACAGACAGTGACATGGCCTGTTATGCATGATGTGACCACTCTCAGCCTCACTTACTTTATCTGTAAAATGGGCTAACAGTAAACACCTAATTCCACAGAGCTTCCCCGCACTGAAACAACATGTGAAACAGGCTCAGCACAGAGGAGGAGCTGGCACCTGGCAGTTACTGTCACCATCTCCACTGTCTCAGCTTCCTCCTGGAGTCAAGAGCAGAGACAGTCACCTTCCTGTCCCTCCATGGCACTCCCAGCACAGGGACCAGGTAGCTTCCTTGCTGGGGCTGGCAGCGGTACCCTCCCCACCCTCCCGCTCCTGCCCCACCGCTCAGGCACCCTCTGCAGGGAACCGTGCTCGGGACACTCACCCGCTCCAGGGCAAAGGTGCGCACGACATACTCGGCGAGAGCCTCCGTCTTCACCAGCGTGATCTTGATGTCCCCATACATGTCTGAGTCCTCTGGCCAGTACCGTGAGCATTTCACCTGGAGTCCCCATGGGAGAGGACTCAGTGGGCCCTTCACTGCCCCCTTGGCCCTCCGTGCCCCCGGCCCACCCCGCAGCCCCGCTTACCCTGCCCACCTCGACCAGCTTGGTGATCATGACGATGCTGGAGCAGTGCTCCTGCCACACCATGCGCCAGAAGTCGTAGACCATCTCCGGCTTCGGCCCTGGGGGCGCAGAGTGTGCCTGCCCCTGAGACGAGGTTTCCGCCCCGGGCCGGCAACCCCGCTGTCCACACCACCACCCCAAGCCAGGAGGCTCCCTGCACTCTGACGGGGGCTTCGTGCTCGCCCCACACATACCCCACCAACAGCCCACCCATGCCTGCAGGGCCCTGGGCGGGTGCTATCAGGAGAGGGCCTGGCTGCAGAGCCCAGTCACCCCAGGTGGGACCCAGGAGGCAGAGCTGGAGGGCCAGACCCTCAGTCCACAGCCCAAGTCTCCAGGAGGATGGACAGATAGACAGTGGGGGAAAGAGACACAGCCAGACAAACCCAGGCAGCACCAGACCAAGAGGCACAATGCACACCCACGAGGACCGAGCCAGACTAGCCCTTGTGCACATACCACCTTGGAGACGGGCAGACAGACCAGGGAGCTGATCACTAACTGATCACTAGGGGACTGATCACTAACACAAACAAGGGACCAAAGTGGATGATTGGACGCCAAGAGACTCAGGCAGAGAGCAGGGAGCAGACAAGCAAACAGGGACACTGAGGCAGATGGCAGGCAGACAGGAGCCCAGCAGAGCAGCGGGGGAGGCAGAAAGGCAGGCAGAGGCATGCTAGCACATTGCTGGGCACACACGGGCAGAGATGCCGGGTACCTTGAGTGGCTATGAAGTGGTTTGACCTGTGGTAACCCTGGAACAGAAGAGGGCATGGTTAGACCCGAGGGGGCAGCCCCTCACTCCTAGACCTCCTGTGCTCTCCTCCCTGAGAAGCAGCACCCCTGCCCCTCCACAGACCCACCCCACTCTCATCCCCACGGCCTCCCAACCAGGGTGACCTCGTCCTCCCAGTCCCCAAGGAAGGGAGAATGCAGCTGGGACGAGTGTCTTGGGTTTAATCCCACCTTTGCTGTGTGACCCTGGGGAGGACATGACTCCTTTGCAGGCCTAGCGGGTCTCCCCACCCATAAGGCAGGGCTAGTTATCTGCTTGTAACCAGGCTGCTATTGGGAGACAGGGTCCAGGGTGACCCTGCCCTGTTCCCAGAGTCCCAGAAGCTCTAATCACGCCAGACCCTAAACACAGAGTCACGAGAACTTATCAGCCATCCTAGCCCCACTCGGGCAACCAGAATGGACAGCACCCCTCCCCACTACCTCGGTCACTCAGGGCTCGGGAGGCCCAGATGAAGGCTTCAGGTTGGAAGCATATGAGCACAGGGGTTACTCATGGTCCTTAGATAAATAAATATCTTTAAATTCAATAATAATAATGAGGATGAACTTTTGGGGGACCCTGTTAGGGTCACATACTGTGTTAAGCACTTTACCTGCACCATCTCCCACAAAGCAGGCCAGGAGCTACTTCATCCCCATCCCTGAGCCCCCCAGCTGAGGAGAGGATCTAGCCCCCCACACCACGCCCCAGGGCCACAGCCACCCTTGAGGTCCTGCCATAGGCCTCGTCTTTCTGGGGTGCAAGAGCCCAGCAGAAACCCGGGGTGTCAATGCGGGCAACACGGGGAGGGGAAGAAGTTCTGCAGGAAACCATGACGCTCCACCCCTGCCTCGAGTTCGCACCGCAACACAGCTCCCCGGCCACTGCCAGGTTCACTTCCAGCTCTGCCTCTTGCTAGCTGTGTGTACAGAGGCAAAACCCCCTTCACTTCTTTACGCCTCCATTCTCACATCTATAAAATGGAATAATCATAGTACTGACCTCCTGGGGCTGTGAGGAGTAACGTATGGTGTACGTTTGGCACTGTGTCAAGCACGAGATCAGACTTAATCAATAGTAGCCATTATTATTATCACTACTACTACTATTTGAAAGCTTAAACAGTATCCCTTTGATCCACAAATGGATCAAGTGGATACAAGTGGATGCCAGAACTGCTGGGGCGGCAGGTGATTCACTACCGGGGTTAGGAAACAGTCCTGGAGTCAAATGGTCCCAGGTCCCTGTCGCAGGTCTGCCAAGGAGTAGCTGTGTGACTGGGCGCTAAGAGCATGCCTCTCAGCCGCTGCTGTGCGGGAATCTGCTGGGGATCCCGTTCAAAGGCAGGTTCAGAGTCAGCAGGTCTGGGGTGGGGCCCGGCCGTGCCTGTCCAGCCAGCTCCCAGGTGGTGCCACAGTGCTGGGCCTCAACGCACCCTGAGAAGTCAGGGAGGCTCTCCGCCTCCATAAGCCTCTGTTCTCCTTGGCAACAAGAGGATAATAGCAAGAGACACACTCAGAGATTCTGTCATGAATCTACTTGCTATTCCCACGAAAATGACCAAAACACAGTCAAAGTAACTGATAATAATGAAGAGCCTGCCAGAGACTCTGAGCCCTCCCCACGAGGAACCTCTCCGGGTCTACTCTTTGGGTCTAGCCTAATTCCCTCCTGCTGTCACTCCAAGCCACTGTCTCCGCTTCAAGTCCTTGGCAGAGCCACTGGGCGACTGGGGTCAGAGGGGGAGGTGGAGGTGGAGGACAAGGGGGGACATCAAAGGTGCAGCCAGGGGCTCCCCTCCCACCCCCAGCACTAGTCAAGATGGGAACAGGCTGCCCCACCTAAAACCAGCCTCAGAATCCCACATGACAGCAGGGGCCTCACCTGCCCATCCAGCTCTGCCCCCAGTGCCCCGCAGGACGCCAGCACACACACACACACACACACACACACACACACACACACACACACACACGCTGGTTTGTAAATAACAGAGGAATGGAACTCTATTAAAACAGATCAATTTGCCCAAGGACCAGCTGGTTTAAAATTCAACTCTATTACAAATGTTTCTACTTCATTCCAGTGTCCTATTCTTCTGTTGTTTGGAGGTATCTTTTTGGAAAACGTGTGACAAATGGTCATACAACCTTACATGACACAAGTTTTGGGGCAGGTAACCCTTAATATCTGCATATTAACTTTTAAAATATATGTGTGTGTGTAATACTGCACAATTATATTACATAAAGGATACAAAGAGAAGTCTAAAATGACCAGATTTTAAAGGCCGATCAGTAGATCACCTTGCATACACCCACGTTAGAGACCAGCATTACAGAGCCCTGGCCCTCACCCTCCAGGAAGCCCGGGCAGGTCCCAGGCTCTTGCTGTGCCCTCGCTGGATTCTGACTGCGCACCTGTACACCTGCACTGCAGGCAAGACCCCAGGGCATCCTGATGTCCCCCACCGGGTAAGAACCACGGTCCAGTGTAAGGGTTGAGGGCTAAGGCTGGGACTGTGGCCCAGTTCTGCCAACTGAAAGCCACGTGGCCCTGAGCAAGTCACTTAACTTTTCCAAGCCTCAATTTTCTCACCTGTCAAATGTGGGTCAATAGAGTCCCTAACAGGCAGAGTGTGGCAAAGATGAAACGATGTGTCCCAGGTGCCCGGCACACAGCAGGTGCCCAGTCAATGGCAGTATTGTTAACTGGCATTCGACCAAGTACTAAGCCAAGGCTTCCAAGGGTATTTCTTAAGAATCTGACAACAGTGAACCACCTTGGATTTAAGAGCAAGGTGGATGTGGTGAAAATTGAGATATAAAGAAGTGTAGCCACCTGTAACCATCACCTCCGAATGGGGACACTAGGGCTGAGCACATGTGCTATATCTGGGAGCCTAACATTCCCTTTAATTGTGAGAACTTCACAGACCAACTGCTCAGGCACACTCGAAATAAGGGCACATCTAGGCTAACCAGTCATCTCCAGATGTCACTGTGGGGACCTTTCACTTTATATGTTAGGCATCTCCACGTTGTCTGAAAGTCTGAAAATGAACAGTTTTGGGCAATCATAAAAAAGCATGAAATACGTTTTTTAAAGGAAAGAGGAGATAAAACAAGAAAAGGCATCTACATAATAGCAAACAATCTCATCAGTCATCAAATACTACAAAAATAATATATATGTATTAAAAATTAAATCGGAGGATCATTAGATGAATTAGGGTGGTTTTGTAATTCTTAAAAAGCCAAAAGATGGCACAATTTTTAAAAATAGAATACCCAAACTGCTCCCCCAAACAACATTCAAATTAGGGCTAAATTGAGGGCAAAGTGGTTGGGGACGAGTTTCGAGCAAACTGATCACAAGGCGATTTGAACACTAGGAACCCTGGTTTGGGGTGGACTGACCCAGGGCTGTCCAAAGAGCTTGACCCCTAAGCAGCAGAGACGGGGCCACCCAGGCCCCTCCCCCACCCTAGCCCTGCCAAGGGTCCTGCAGGAGGTGTGGGGTCCTAGTGAGGACTCGTTGGGAAGGGTGGGGCTGGGGGACAAAAATGACAGACAGTAGGGGCTGGTGCGAGCACCCCAACACTGCTGCCCGGTGGAGGCAGTGGAGGACGGGAGGGAAGTGCTTACAATAGGGACACTGTCGAATCTTCAGCCCTGGGCGGTCCCTGGCCAGGCTGCTGAAATGGACGGTTGGTGCTGGGCACACAGTAGAGTGGAAAGAGGACAGAGACAGAGAGAGACAGAGGGACAGACAGCCAGAGACTGTGAGAGAGTCTGAGATACAGCCAGTCAGACAGACAGGAGAGGAGGAAGAGGAGGGGAGAGAGATACTTACTTCACGGTTTATCCGAATCTTAATGATTCCAGTGAGGGAACAGTACAAAGCAAAAGAGACAGATATTAGGCCAGAGGCAGATGGAGGTGGACGGAGCACGGAGTGGCCAGAATGGGCGATGCGAGCTGCAGGCGGAGCAGGGACGGCCGGGCTGGGCGGGCTGGGCTGGGCAAGGGCCAGTGGGGAGTGGCGTGTCCCTGCCAGGGCCCAAGAGAAGCCAACTGGGACTTTGATGAGACAGAGGAGAGGCCCACTGTCTGTGAGTCCAAGTCTGTGCACCCAGGCCCAGCCCTAACCCCAGCCAAGGGAGGGAATAGGTGGGGGAGAAGGGAAGGGATTCTGGGGACCACGGGCAATACATCCGGCCCCAGGAGGAAGATAAGAAGAGGGAGAGGAGAGACCACCTCTGGAGTCCTGACTACCTCTGCCCCCAGACCTGCACCTGGTCCTCCCACACCTCAGGCCTTTGTTTCCCCATCTCCCTTCCTGAGCCGCCCCCCCCCTCCACTCCACGAAGGCTGCCGCGCCAGCCCTGGCTCTGCCGCTGACTTGCTGTGTGACACTGGGAAAGTCATTCCTGCTTTCTGGCCTGTGCCTCCCCACCGTCTGAAATCATTTATTCATGTTCATGTTTACCTGTCTCCCCCACTAGAATATTGTGCAAGGAAAGCTGGGGCCTGCCTATCTTTTTCACTTCTGTATCCTGGTGCCTGGCACATAGAAAGGGCTTGAAATATATTTCATGAATGATCGAAAGGTGCTCTCCCAAACCTGGTTTGCTGCAGAGATGGGGGAGTCTGACCAGGGTCCCTGGGCCCTGTCCCGTCTCACCCCACATCTACACCTGGGCAGTAGTCTCACCACCTCTTCTTGACACCCAAGCCTAGGCCTCCTGGCCCCCTGCCCTGGCTCTGGCCCCTCGTCCAGTCCACCCAGGTCCAGCTACCACAGTGGGTGACAGGATAGCCTCATGGTTAGCAGTAAAGGCTTTGGAAACACAGACAGGCTGAGGTTTGAGTTCTTTCTCTACCACTCACTAGCTGTGTGACTGAGGACAAGTAGCTTCACCTCTCTGAGCCCCCGTTTCCTCACCTGTAAAATGAGGTCACGATGCTAACTACCTTGTAGGGTGGTTGTAGGGAGTATACAAAATGAGATAATGTGTAGAAAGTACTTAGCACAGTGCTTGGCACACGGTACATGCTCAATAAAGGTGCGCTATTATTCTTGAAGCACCATCCCGATTACAGCCAAAACACTTTAACAGCTCCCGGTGCCCCTATGAAAAAGCCCCAACTCCTGCGCCTGCCACTCGAGCCTTCACGATCCAGCCCCTGCCTACCTCTCCAGCCTCATGGTGAACTGGGAGAAGCCCACCCTTCAAGCCTCTTGGTCCCTCACAAGAGGGCATCCCTCCTCAGCCCTAGGCCTAGCTGTCTGCCTCTTCCCTCCATCCTGCTTCACTGAAGCCCCCATCTCTCAGGACAACTGCAGCCTGCAGGAAGCCTTCCTGAAGGCTGCCACCCACTCTGGCCTCCCCCTCCTCTGAGCTCCCTGGCACCCAATGCAGTAGGTGGGGGCACTTGGAACTCAGCCATCTGAACCCCCATTTATCCCCTGCCAGGTTTCTGCCCTGCCTGGACAGCGAGCCTGGAGCGGGCAGGGCCAGGTCCGCAGAAATGACAGGGCAAGGCACTCACGTCTATGTAGTTGGCGTTAATGTAGTCGGCATTGGGGTCTCCCAGCATCGGGTGCAGTTTCACTCGGTGCCGATCATCTGTAAACAGAGCAGGAGGACAGGGGCTGAACTGGGGAGACGAGAGTGGGGGCGGTTGGGGAGGGCTTCCTAGGCCAGAGGTGGGGCACAAGCAGGGCAGCCAGGAAACCTAGAGGCTCAGGACCAACCAGTAGGCTCTGGATGCCACGGGAGGCAGGAGAGGCCAGGGGTTAGAGTCTGAAGTCAAGGAGGGCCAAAGCGTATGCTGCTCAGGCAATTTTGTTTTAAGAGATGGGGTCTCACTGTGTCGCCCAGGCTGGAGTGCAGTGGCACAATCACAACTCACTGTAGCCTCAAACCCCTGGCCTCAAGTGATGCTCCTGCCTCAGCCTCCCGAGTAGCTGGGACTACAGGTGCGTGCCACTGCAGCCAGCATCAGGCAAGGATTAGCTGTGTGACCTTGAGCAGGGGTTTTAACCTCCCAAGCTCAGTTTCCTTATCTGTAAAAGGGGGACTATAACAGTGCCCATTTCGCAGAGTAAATGAGAGGAATAAGTGAGATAATGGGCGTGACACTCGGCACAGGGTGTGGCAATGGTGGGCCCGCGATAAATGGCTGTCGACACTACCACCATCTCCGAGGCTGCCCCAGAGCGAGCCCACTGTGGCTGCACTCGCCTTTCTGACTCCCTCCCACCCACTGCCCTGGCCCGTGGGCCCTTCCCGTGGATACCCTGGAACTCACAGGCAGGCATCGGCTCCTGCCGGCCGCCCTTGAGCTTGTCTTTCTTCTTTGTGGCATCCCAGCCGTCAAAGAAGCTCTGCCAGAAGGGAAAGTGGTGGTCAATGGGGAGGGGGAGCCCCACTCATAGGGCCCCTTCCTCAATGGGGGCAGGGTGGAGGTGGGCCACCATAAGGACCAGGTTCAGGGCTGAACTTGGGGCCTGAGATAAAGTCACTGCGTTTCCCTTTATCAGCAAGAGACCAAGTTCAAAATAAAGGAGTATGAGGGAAGGGAAATGAGAAAAGAGTCAGAGTGCAGAGGCATTTTGGAATAAGGCTCAGGTGTAGAACAGGTCAAATCTAGAGCTGAGCTGGGCAGAAGGTAAAGGTGCAGGCCGGATTCAGATTAGGATGCGGGTGGTGTCACAGTGCAGATGGGGGCAGGAGGGGATCCCAGTCAGGGTTCAAACAGAGTTTAGGGTGTGAGTCGGGGTCAGTGATGGACTAGGGTTTAAGTCAAGGTCAGGGTGAGTGTTGCGGTCAGGCTCAGATGAGGGACAGAATAAGGATCAGGATCGGGATCCAGACGGAGACTGGGATGAGATTCAAGGGCAGCTTTCAAATCAGGGTTTACATGACAGTGAGAAACCAGATCCGTCCGAAATCAGGATGGGGGTCAGGGTCAAGGTACAGAGGGTTAGGTTGCAGTGGGGTCCGTCAGAGCAGGGGTCCAACCGGGCCTGGGCTGAGGGCTGCCGGGGTCAGTCCGCGGTGAGGAGGAGCCAGGCAAGGCCCGCCCGGCCCTGTCACACCGGGCCCTTGCGTGCACCTCGTACTCCTGCTTGAAGCCGTAGCCCTCGGCCGTCTTCATCTGGTTGATGTGCTGTAGGAGGTCGGCCACACGCACCGCGGGGTGCAGCTGCCCCGTGTGGTACGGGGAGCCCTTCCGGCCACACGGACGCCGTGGAGAGCCCCCCAGGAGGCTGCTGGCCTCAGTGACCCCACTGCTGCGCTGGTCTCCTGCAGTGAGAGAAAGGCAGAAGGGTTCCTGACACACACACGCCCCAGCCTGGGGAGCCCCAGATGGACTCGGGGGCGAGGGGAGCGGGGAGCACAGCCAATAGTGGGGACGCTGGGTTGTTCGCTGGAGCCAAGCAGCCTAGCTGGGCCCACCTGTGTGACCCTGGCCAAATCCCTGCCCTCCGTGTCTGGGGTTTCCCACCTGTAGACTGGGCAGTCAGGTCAGGTGACCCGAGGGCCCCATGGCCCTGCCATGCTGTGACACTGTGACACCCTCACTCCACCCCGTGGCGAGGCTTCACCTGCTGCCTGCAGGGGGCAGCTCTCAGCAGAGCCATGACAGCCCCCCTCCCACTGCCCCCTCTTCCAGGGAACAATCTGGAACATTGGCAACCCCAGCAATCACCCTCATTCAAAGACAAGCAAATCCGGAAATGAGCAGCTGCTGCTGCCCCGCTGCGGATTAACTCGGGAGGCACCTGAATGGGAGCCTTTCTCCTGCGCAAGCATTTCCACTGTCGCCGTGAGGGGCCTGGCCAAGGGGGCAGGACGAGGATAGGTCCAGAGATTCCAGAGATTCAGAGCCCTGCGCACCCTCGAAACCATCCCCTTCCTGGAGCCCACCCACTCCCCGGCTGTTCCGGTAGCATTCCCAAGGCCCTGCCACTCTTGTCCCGGAGATCAGGTCCTGGGACTGAGAACAGCCACACCCACCTTGGGACACTCACTCACACTCACTAAATAGGCATGCGTGGCCTAACGATGGGGATGGAGGCATTCTGAGAAATGCGTTGTGAGGCAATCCCGTAGCTGAGGGAACATCACAGAGTGCACGCGCACAAACCTAGATGGCACGCCGTCTACACACTTGGGCTGTGTGGTCTAGCCTATTGCTCCTGCCAGCAAACCTGTGCAGCATGTTGCTGTACTGAATGCTGCAGGCAACTGTGACACAATTCATGTTTGTGTATCTAAACAAAGCTAAACATAGAAAAGGCACAGTAAAAATACAGTATAAGAGATAAAAAAAACAGTACACCTGTTTAGGGCACTTCCCGGGAATGGAGCTCGCAGGACTAGAAGTTACTCTGGTGAGAAAGTGAGTGAGTGAATGTGAATGTTCTAGGAAGTCACAGTACCCTCCTATAGACTTTAAAACACTGTGCACTTAGGCTACACTGAATCTATTAAAAAATTTATGTGTCTTCCTTCTATAATAAATTTACCTTAGCTTACTGTAACTAATTTACTTTATAAAGTTTTCAATTTTTTTAACTTTTTTTTTTTTTTGAGACAGAGTCTCGCTTTGTTACCCAGGCTAGAGTGAGTGCCGTGGCATCAGCCTAGCTCACAGCAACCTCAAACTCCTGCGCTCAAGCAATGCTGCTGCCTCAGCCTCCCAAGTAGCTGGGACTACAGGCATGTGCCACCATGCCAGGCTAATTTTTTCTATATATATTAGTTGGCCAATTAATTTCTTTCTATTTTTATAATAGAGATGAAGTCTCACTCTTGCTCAGGCTGGTTTCGATCCTACCATCCAGCAATCCGCCCACCTCGGCCTCCCAGAGTGCTAGGATTACAGGCGTGAGCCACCATGCCTGGCCTAATTTTTTTAACTTTTTGACTCTTGTCATAACACTTAGCTTAACACACACATTGTACAGCTGTACAAAAATATTTTCTTTCTTTATATCCTTATTTATATGCTTTTTTCTATTTTTAATTTTAATTTTTTTAATTTTTTTACTCTTTAAACTTTTGTATTGAAAACTAAGACACAAACACACACTTTAGCCTGGGGACTACACAGGGTCAAGATCATCAATATCACTGTCTTCCACCCCATCCCACTAGGAGGTCTACAGGAGCAATAACATGGACTGCCTTCTTCTACACATACCTCTTGAAGGAGCTGCCTGAGGGTGTTTAGACAGTTAACTTGTTTTTGTAAAGTAGTTTACACTCTAAAATGATGATAAAAAGTATAGTGTAGGAAATATACAAACTGGTAACAGTAATTATCAAGTATTATGTATTATACCATACATAATTGTACATGCTATAGACTTTCATATGACAACAACCCAGTAGTTATGTTTACACTGCATCACCACAAACATGTGAGTAAAGCCTCGTGCTACACCACTGTGACAACTATGACGTCACTAGGCAATAGGAGTTTTTCAGCTCCCTTATAATTTTATGGGTACCACCATCATATACACAGTCCACTGTGACTGTGCTCAGTTCCTCCTCTCTGTCCTGGGGAGGCTGCAGGGGCTATTCAAGCCCAGCCCTCCGCATTTTTCACAGCCCTTCTCTGCCAGATCTGAGCTAGCAGGGACTGGGGGGGGGGGGTCTCAGTGGGCCCAGATGCCTGACCCCTCCCTTCTCTGTGCCTTCACACATGCTGTTCCCTCTGCCTCCAAACCCTTCCTGCCCCTACCCTTTATGCCTGGTGAACCATACTCATCCTTCAGGTCTCAGCCAAAATGACGCTCCTCAAGGGGTGCCTGGCCTGTAATTCCTACTCCATGACTGGCCGGCAGAGTGAACGCAGGCTCCCCAGGACAACCCATGATGAGCTCAATGTCCCCAAATTCTATTCAAATCAGGGAGACTGCCCATTCTGCATGGGTTCCACCTTCCTGTCCCATGGTTTGAAAATGGCCTCCAGGTAGAAAGTCAGAGCTCACCTCATTTGCTTCTCTGTTCTCCGCAATCACAGTCCTGAGCTGCCTGCCTTTAATGTCTGAAAGCAATGGTATCATGTATTTTATCCAGATTCTGGTTGCTTACAGCTGAAAGGCCTGCCAAGTACCAGCTATGGCATCGTGGCCGATGCCCAAGCCCTTAATCTCACAGATGGGGAAACTGAGGTCCAAAGAGGGAGACTGCCTAATGTAATGGTCACCATAGTCTATTATAAAAATACTAGGTATACAAGATGATTAAGTGGAATTCCATTAAAAAGAGAAAAAGAGGAATGAGGAGGAATTCTATGTTCTAAAGTAGTCTGTGAAATTCCAGTTTAAAAAATAAACAGGTATCTTCCCTATAAGATCTCCTGAGGCTTTCAACATGTTCATGTGCATTTTAATTCTCCACGAGGAGAAACAGCAACATTTCACAGTCATCTTTCACCATGGAGGTGTTTTTTGTTTATTTCATGAATCCTCAGGGAAACGCAATGTAATGTGGAGACTGAGGAAGGAGCTCTGGAGTCAGGCAGACCTCAGATGAATCCCAGCTATGCTCACGACCTTGGGGACGTTACTTACTCTCTCCAAACTTCTTCACATGTCAAATGAAAGTAAACTGTTACTATCCAATATGATGATGTAGAATATAAATATGATATGTGTATAAAGCACCATCCCAGTGCCTGGCACGTAGTGAGAACTACGGTGGCAGCTGTTTGACATTATTAGTCTTTCCAGGAAAGGGAAGAACTTGAGTCCCAGAAGCCAGCGCAACTGGCTGACAAGAGTCTTGTCCTTTGCTACTGTGCGATTTGGTCTAGGACCTAAGGGCAGCTGAAAGACAATTCTAAGGAACATCCACTACACCACACACAAACAAGTGCAAAGTTTCAGAAGGTTCTGCGACTCAGAGAACTCAGAGGGAGCCCAGCTTCTTTGTGGAAACTGGGCCAACAGTAGAGGCTGTCGGGTGGAAGGGAGCAATGGAGGGTGTGGAGAATCTAACAGTTCATCCCAGGGATCCTGTAGGGTTGGCAGCCCTGACACCACCCACAAGTAGGCGTGCAAGTACTCACAATGGCAGCAGAAATTTCTCTGATTGAGATTCTGCTGGGAAGCCAGAGCCAACGTCAGCCCATAGCTGAGCCAAGAACAACTCACAATGCTCCACAATAAGACCACAAGAAGAGGGCAAGATGATCCTCATTGCCAGAACTGCCTGCTCTCGCCCGTGATTCCCTGTGGGATTTGAGTCACATTCCAACCACCTGCTGCCTCCAGGACAGCTTGTCCAGCCAGCAGCCCCTGAGAGCAGGGAGGAAGGAGGGTGAGAACCTCCACGCAGGCCTCCTCCTGGGCTCTTCCAGCTCCATAATGACAGTGGGACACCTGCGACAACCACTAGACAGCTGATGTTTCATGGGGGGCGCTGAGGCCACAGAAAAGACACTGGTTCAGAGTCAGAGAAACTGAATTCGATTTGACTCAAGTTCCTTGACCTCTCTGGGTCTCAGTTTCCTTATCTGGAATAAGATCTCATGCCTCGGGATGGGCACTTTCCTGATCCTGCCACCCTCATGAGAAGACAGGCCCGGTGATACAATTGGCCAGCACCCCAACTTTCCTTCACTGTTTGCAATTAAAAAACTGCCTAAAGAACCAAGCTTAATAACAGTAATTCCATCTAACATATTGATGCGCTCATACGCCGGAAATGATCCTTACGTCATTCAATCCTACAATATCCCTATGACGTGGCACTATTATTATCCCTTGAGCAATGAGAAACTGAGGCCAGAAGGTTAAGTTACTTGCCTCATGAAATGACGCACTAGGATTCAAACCCAGGCTTGAATTCACCTGACTCTTGGGACCCTGTCATCCACCTTCTTTTTCTCTGCTCCTCCTCCCTGATAAAGGGCTTTGTGAAGATGGATGGAACTGGTTCTTATTTGACAACCATTTGCCCAGAATCACCGCACACGGGGTCAGCTCCAGATGGACCCAAGGGTTTTCACAGTCAGGATCTTCAGAGGCAACAGTGGGCTTGGTGCCAACACTTGGGAAAGATTCAGCTGGCTTCTTCACACCAGCCTGCCACCATTTACCAGTGCGTATAGTCCCTATTAAAATTTGCATATGCAAGGATGAGCTCCAAATGGAATCGTTGTTCATTCTAACACACAAAAATCTCCCACTGTTTGGAAAAGGGAAAAGAAGGATGTGACGTAGATAGCAGTGGAGTGTAGAGAAAGAGCGACGGGTACCAGACCAGTTCCTGTACACACTCGACCT